TTTATTTTGTCATTAATTCTTTTGTATTTTTATCATTTTGTATTGTCTTAAGTTGTCCAAGTTGTTAAAAATGTTATTTTTCTTAATAAAATCTGTATGTATGGATTGCCATTTTGTTGTCTATTAGACGTATATATGTAGTCGTTTAATAGCGGTCTAATTGATGACTAGTCTATTCTTGGGCTATGGTTAGACGTCTATTAGATTTTCACTGACAGCCCAAATTTAGCCTTGTTTTAGCCTAGACCCATATTCACCGTCTATTAGACGTATATATGTAGTCGTTTAATAGCCGTCTAATTGATGACTAGTCTATTCTTGGGCTATGATTAGACGTCTATTAGATTTTCACTGACAGCCCAAATTTAGCCTTGTTTTAGCCTAGGATTGCCATTTTGGTCTATTAGACGTATATATGTAGTCGTTTAATAGCGGTCTAATTGATGACTAGTCTATTCTTGGGCTATGATTAGACGTCTATTAGATTTTCACTGACAGCCCAAATTTAGCCTTGTTTTAGCCTAGACGCATATTCACCGTCTATTAGATGTATACATGTAGTCGTTTAATAGCCGTCTAATTGATGACTAGTCTATTCTTGGGCTATGATTAGACGTCTATTAGATTTTCACTGACAGCCCAAATTTAACCTCGTTTTAGCCTAGACGTCTAGGCTATATTTAGATGTCTAATAGACGTCTTTTAAACACAAAATTGCTTGCTGGGATCCGTTTCGATACACGTATCAGCAAGGAGCACAGCCCTATTAAAAGCCGTGTTCCATGTGCCCCTTTTATACTTTGAGCACCTGCCCCTCCAAAGGTCTCTGCAGTCTGCACGGCCCTGAACTCACCTGCCCGTAGCCTAATCTTAAAGGCCCAGATTAACTTGTTCAGGTGTATTTGATTAGGGATGCTGCGTTCACGCCATATCATAATAATTACCATAATTAGTAATTACGAGATGAGATCTAGCTTTGACGCTTGTTTCACACATGCTTCGTTTGCAGTGCGTATGCGTTGCAGTAGAACAGGTTCGTTTGATATAGGATGCGTTTGCAGTCCACCGTTGTTCCGGGAGTCAGAACACATTGGTTGACCTATGTTTTCGATTCACTAAGACGAACCGACTCGCTAAAATCATTCGTTCTGGAATCGGACAATCGATGGTCAAAGTAACCTAAATTCAGAGACGTCATGCCCATTCAAAGTGAGGGGGCACGTGCCCCCTCAGATTTTTGAGCCAAGTGGATTTTGAATGCACCTTCCAAAAGACAAAAAAATAGCCGATTAATATTTTCTATACAATCACACCGGCCTGATTAAATCGTTCAGTGCCTCATATCATCAGCTGCTAAATTCAAATCTGCGTTCGCTGGCTGGCACTGAGCAGATACAGACGAGTTTTTACCGAAATGCGCATTATAACCAATCACACACGATGCTGTTGAGCTTATGAATGCAATGACCAATCAGAGGTGTTCAGATGAGTCATCGCTAAAATGCCGGTGTTTTCTTCACTCGCTCGCTGACTGAATACCTCTTTCTGGCGAATTCTCTCGTCAGAAACAACGAAGTGCAAATGTGTGTACGACTCTGTAAGATATTCATTTCATAATGTAAACAGCTTCAGTGATTTTAATGGGAGTTTTTGAGAGTGCTTGAACTAGACTGTCAGTGAAAATGTTCTTTAATAATGTAAATGTTCTTTGCTCTCTTTCTGTACAATGAAAGTGTTATGATTAGTAGCCTAACTTTCAATGTTAAATTCACATTAAATATAAACTCAGTCGTATTAAAAACATGTTATGGCATGTCATCCATATTTATAATTAAGTAAACAGGTTTTATGCGTAGTTAATAGATTACATTATTAGGTTATATATATAGAGAGAGAGAGCACCCTCACTAATTTAAGAAGCACCCTCAGTGATTTGATTTTGGAGCCGGGCCTGCTCAGGCTGCTGCTTTGCTGCCTTATCAGGCAATGACTTTAGAGGCAGTGTTTGTGCACAAAGGCACCTCACAAAGCTGATTTCAGACAAGCTTCTGAGGCAATGTAATGGTTTAATGATCTACAACAATATAGAGCAAGCTTTGGTAAGCAAATATTACAATAATAGTAAGCATGCAGCATTTTTCTTCTTCTTCTTTTAGTTTTCTGGCAGTTACTCTGAATTTCCTGCATTTAATTAATATGTGCTCTACATTTTCTTTTCAATTACAAACCTCACATTTGTCTGTGTTTATTTTATTCATAAGAAATAATGTATTGTTAAGTCTTGTATGTCCTAACCGTAGTCTTGCATATGATTTCCTCCTTTCTATTTCTACTATTAACTTTTCTAACTTTGATTGATTTTTGAATTCTGTAATATTCACTTCCTGTATTACCTGAATCCCAACTTTTTTTATACTGTTTGTCAATGTTTTTTTTAATTAAAATTTTTCCTTCATTTTTTCCAAGTGGAATATCTATTTTGTCACTGTGATTTAGAGCTTTTTTTTTGCTAATTTATCAGCTTCTTCATTACCTACTATACCTATGTGTGCTGGTATCGGCAGCATTTTTCAGCTTTTGGATGCAACTATAAACACAAGAGGTAACAAGCTTAACAAGACACACCTTGAGAGACTTTTAAAACTACAAACTGACTACAAACATGGCACAGGAAACACTTCAACATAAAAGTCCAGGGACAAACACAGGGAACCTGTGGTGCAGTAACGTGTAAAGTATAAATATTACAATTAGACAATTTAGATACTGCTGTAAAGCAGCTCTAAAAGACACTAGTGTCACTACTGGGCTCCAGTCAGTTGAGTGTTGGTTCAGATCAGGTAAATAACAGTATAAAGTTCATCAGTTTCAAACGAGTTCTATTCAGTTATAAATACTCCTACAGAAGCCAGCAATGGTGTTATTCAGCTCGAGTTTAATGTTGATTCAATTCATTTGGATAACACTGTCAATGCCGCAAGATGTGATTCAGCACTAAAGCAGATCTACAGAAGACAACAGTGCCAATTTTCCAGCTTAGTTCAGTTCACGTTTTGTTCTCATCTAATAGTGTCAGTACAGTCATATCAATCAGTTTGCTGAGTATTAAGTGTCCTTTAGACCCTAACTAAGCAAGCCAAAAGCGACGGTGGCAAGGAACCTTGTCTCCTCGAGAAATGTCAAAGAACAAAACATATCAATGTACCTCTTTTTTCTTCTTTTGTAGCTCTTACGAAAACACATCACATCCAGTCCAGATTGCACTGTGGCAGAGGAGGATACCCATTATGGATTGTATACAGGGAGCTGGTTCCACATAGAGTTCTGTATATATATATATTGACACTGTTTTAATTTCATGTCTTTAATATGTTGATAGGTGACAAGTATGATGAGCACACATTGTGGATTCTGAGGGAGGTTAATGCACAGCTGCAATCATCTCGCGAGCTGAACCCTGCCTCAAACTCTACAAAAGCATACTCAAATTGAAGAATCGGATGGCTCCTCTCAGTCAGAAGACGCTGAATAAATCAGCAGGGCTACAACAAAGGTAAACCTCTTTTGTACAGTGCCAAAGGTTGTCTTCATCCTGCCCCAGTGACTGAGGGCAAGCTATCTAGCATGCATTGATGGTCATATCTACAGATATGGTAGATTTAGGTCAGTATCTCATTGGATTGAAATTAAAATGTCTGTAGTAAGATTGTTAAAACCAAATGATCTGTTACATAAACAGTACCTGCACTACATAAATGTGCAGAAGTTGTGTTTCTATTTCTATCTACCTCTAAAAGGTGCATATTACTTACTTTATACACACTCTTTAGGGGTAGATAAGGTACAAAGGCGTATAAGTCTACTGGCCCATGACAAGCCATAGTAGCCATAAAGGTAAAGGTTTTTTTTGCAGAACATTTTGTACATTAATAATATGAGTGGACTTTCTGTTAACACACACAGGGTTTTTTAATATAAATTATTGATAGGCAGTGTATAATAAAAAAAACTGCCATTTGTATCGAAATGGGTGACTGTTTGGATCTGCACACTTTCTCACACCTTATTGTTTTTTTTTTATTATTATTGCAACTGATAACTACACTACTGTTCAAAAGTTAGGGATCTCTACGATTTTTTTGTTAAGTTTTTTTTTTTTTTTTTACTTTTATGCTCACCAAGGCTATATTTATTTGATCAAAAATACAGTAAAACACTAATATGAAATTTTATTACAATTTACAATAACAATGTTTCCCCCGTTAGTCATTACTCCAGTGTTCAGTATCACATGATCCTTCATAAATCATTCTGATTTGGTGCTCAAGAAATATTTCTTATTATCAATGTTGAAAACATTGCTTAATATTTTTGTGGAAAGCATGATCTTTTTTCAGGATTCTTTGATGGATAGAAAGTAGTGTATTATGTATTTAATTAGCTTAATTTTTTTTTTTTAATTAACGTTAAAGAAAGCCAGTGTTGCCAAACATTCTTGGCAAAGCTCTTTTTTTTTAATCAAATAACGTTTCTGATAACTTCAAATAATTGATTCATATTAAAACATTTGAGAGCAAAATAAGACTCAAACACAAAAGCACATTTAAACCAGTTTATTGATTTTTCATCACTCTGAGTTGGGTTGTTTGTTCTCAAGAGTGGTTTCATCTCATGCTGGTTGTTCTTGTTTGAAATCTCACTTGGTCTCAGTCACAGCCTGAGTGGAGGAGATCACTTTGCCGTCTTTCACCTCCTCTACAATGGTGACCACTTTGCGTGTAGTTGAGGTTGTGGATGAGGATTGTGTGGTTTGAACACTTCTGAGGATGGGGGAAAAACAAAGTTATAGACAACTCAGAATCTTAATCTCACAAATCAGGACATATATTATGTATTTAATTAGCTTAATTTAGCTTAATTATTTTTTTTAAATTAACGTTAAAGAAAGCCAGTGTTGCCAAACATTCTTGGCAAAGCTCTTTTTTTTTTAATCAAATAACGTTTCTGATAACTTCAAATAATTGATTCATATTAAAACATTTGAGAGCAAAATAAGACTCAAACACAAAAGCACATTTAAACCAGTTTATTGATTTTTCATCACTCTGAGTTGGGTTGTTTCATCTCAAGAGTGGTTTCATCTCATGCTGGTTGTTCTTGTTTGAAATCTCACTTGGTCTCAGTCACAGCCTGAGTGGAGGAGATCACTTTGCCGTCTTTCACCTCCTCTACAATGGTGACCACTTTGCGTGTAGTTGAGGTTGTGGATGAGGATTGTGTGGTTTGAACACTTCTGAGGATGGGGGAAAAACAAAGTTATAGACAACTCAGAATCTTAATCTCACAAATCAGGACATAAATGCCTGAATGTTAATGTCTCACCCAGAAGCCTCCCCATCCAGAAGTCTTCTGTACTCTGCAATCTCCATCTCTAGTCTGGTCTTGATGTCCAGAAGCATCTGGTACTCTTGCCTTTGACGCTCCAGATCGCCACGAAGCTGCACCAGCTGCTGTTCCATGCTGGTCACCTGCATTTGGTAACCGTTTAACATGCTGGCATAGCGGGACTGTGTTTCTGCCAAAGTGCCTTCTAACGACGCTTTCTGTTGAGAAGAAAGTCATTATTCTAAAGGCTGTGTGATGCATCAAAACAGCAGATTTCAAGATTGACCTGGTCATCTGCTTACCATACTGAGTTGTGACTGTAGCTCGATTTCAAGACCCTGAAGTGTGCGTTTAAGCTCTGTGATTTCTGATTTGGACGTTTGAAGGTTTTCTGTGCTTGCAGCGACTTCTTTGTTGAGGGTTTCGCTCTGTGCGAGACAATCCACAGGAAAGCAGTCAGATCAGTCGACTGGTTTTGATTTGGTTTTGGTTTCTTATGACAAACTTGGACTAATGTGATTTTACCTTAGCCTGGAACCAGGCCTCAAGTTCTTTGCGGTTCTTGGCTGCAACTGCCTCGTATTGGTCACGGATTTCAGCCATGATCTTGGACAGGTCTTCCTGTGGTGCTGCATCTACCTCTACATTGACTTGTCCACTCATCTGGGCACGTGCTGCCAAGAGTTCCTAAAGATGCAATAAAAACCACTGAGCATGTCCCTCATCAGGAAGAATAACAGGTTTATTGAAGACTGTCAATCAAGCACCAACTTACCTCCTCGTGGTTCTTCTTGAGGAAGATCAGCTCTTCTTTTAGACCCTCAATCTGCATCTCAAGGTCAGATCTGGCCATTGTCAGCTCATCCAGCACCCTCCTCAGGCCAGCAATGTCTGCCTCTACAGACTGCCTCATGCTCAGCTCATTCTCATATCTGCACAGAAATCAAACCCTTAAGTAAACACTTAGGCCCAATTGAGATGTTTATAGTCAGCTTTTCTCTTAGTTATGTGGACTTACTTGACCCTGAAGTCATCTGCAGCCAACTTGGCATTGTCAATGCTGAGGTAGATGCCTCCATTTACACGTGTGGCATCCTGGATCTTCAGGACACAAGAATATAGACAAATTTAGATACATCTTGGGATTTATTTGAGTTTAGTTGTACAATATCTCTTATTTGTCCTAATTACATCCATCTCCATATGTTTATCTCCGTATTTACAACAATCTAAGATTTAAACCGTTATCTTGTGCAAAAATCACTTCTGTTCATTCCACTAAACTGCACAGTGCTGCTTTATTTTTAGCACATTATTCATATAAAGATAAGTTAACAAAAAGATATACCTGTAGTTACAAATGCTGTTTACATTTTTCTTTCTGACAAGACCACATACTTTGTTCTGGAGGTCACTGATAGTAGCGTAATAGGCGCTGTAGTCACGAGCAGAGGGGGACGTCTTGCTCTCCAGGAACTGGCGAATCTTCAGCTCAAGATCAGCATTGGCCTTCTCTAGGGAGCGCACCTTCTCCAGGTAGGTGGCCAGACGGTCATTGAGGTTTTGCATGGTGGCTTTCTCGTTTGCAGACACATCAACAGCATCAGACAGGTTGAAGCCAGCGCCACCACCGAAACCAGCGCCACCACCGAAACCAGCACCGCCACCGAAACCAGCACCACCACCGAAACCAGCACCACCTCCTCCAGCAGAGAAGGAATGAGAAGCAGAGGTGCTTGAGATACGTGTTCCATATCCTCCGGCTCCCCCGTGCATGCTGCCTGCATACATGCCAGACACACGACTACCACCACCGGACATGGACATGCGGGATCCTCCCATGGATCCTCCAGAGGACATGTAACCATATGAAGCAGACATGATTGTAGAGGAGGCTTGCTGTTCTGTTCTCTGGCTGGAGAGAGTGAGAAGTGAGGAACAGATGACCCGTGATCCTTTTATTTGGATAAATGAGGGAGGGAACGATGGATGGGCGTAGTGGCTTTTCCAAGGAGGAGGAGTGAGAAACCACTGCCTCACTCTCTAAAGGCAAACACACACATTCACACAGCTTTCAGCCAACTGTATGGTTTGAATATGTTTGAGATAAAGATCAAAATAATCGGATTTGATGTAGTTGGATTTTATAAGTAGACATTTTGACATAGTGAAGTCAGTGCCAAAATAGTATGCATAAGTTTTTGATTCTTGGTCCAATAGATTTTTTGAAAGAACTTTTGTGCACTCAAATTCCTTATGTTCTAGTAATACAGTAATATAGTAATAAGTGCTTTTGTGCAAAAAAACAAAACAAAAAAAATATATATATAAATGCATAAATCCAACTTTAACATTATGTGCTGAAACACATCTGATTTTAGCATTTGCACATAGTATATCATGAGTATATGAAAAAATTTTATTCATCTTTTTTTTCTTCTTAAAATCACAAGATTAACATTTTGAACCTGAGGGGAAAACAGTGCTGCAAATACAAGAACTAGAAGAGTGAGAGTTTCTGCCCTCAGGGTGCCAATACCGAGACACACCCAGAAAACAAGCTGCAGCAAAGCCATGGCTACTGTGTCAGTTATATACACACAGGAGTATAGAATAGAACATTTCATTCTTTTTTTTGTTGAAAATATGGTTTATCATATGTACATACAAGAATATAGAATAGAATGTTTAATATCTTGTTATTAAAAATACAATTTAACAGTTATTTATATAACTTATAAGCCTAAGCATTCAAAATCCTAGTTGTTTATTCCTCTCAAGTGAGGCATTTTGTTTGGATTAAATCTTTCTTTACACTATGCTTGTATATAGTATAAAGACAAGCCTTAGTGTTGTTGCCATGGCGACAAGAACAAAGTAGAAAAACAAATAAGTAGAAACCAGAACAAAAGGGGAACAACATTTAGCGCAAACGTTAAGACAGTAAATTGTGATTGCCTGATATGAGAACAAGAAAGCTCTTTAATAATTAAGCTTAAGCTGATAGAAGGGAGTGTTTTAAAGTAAAGAAATAAAAGTTGGATATGAAATGCCTTGTACCATAGAAACTGAGCAGGAGGAGAGACTGTGAGTCTGTGAGGAGAGACCCGAGTCAAGCCAGCTGGCCGTTGCACTCTCAAGCCCAGAAAGACGGGCGCCAGCTCATGTCCCGGAACTCCTGGATTATGGCACTTCCTCCGGAGTTCTCGGCCCCTATCCTCTCTCCTGAGTCCGCTCCAGTGTCGGCTCCAGCCCCAGAGCTCGCTCCAGTGTCAGTCCAGTGTTCAGAATCTGCAGCCAACTTGGAATTGTCAATGCTGAGGTAGATGCCTCCATTTACATGTGTGGCATCCTGGATGGGCGTAGTGGCTTATCGTAGCGGACTCAGGGCTCGCTCCAGTGTTGGCTGCAGCCCCAGAGCTCGCTCCAGTGGGGGCTCCTGTTCCCGAGTTTATCCCACGGAGGGCTCCTGTTCCCGAGTTTAGCCCACAGAGGGCTCCAGTCCCCGAGTTTAGCCCAGTGAGGGCTCCAGACCCCGAGTTTAGCCCGGAGTGGGCTCCAGTCACCGAGTTTAGCCCGGAGAGGACTCCAGTCCCTGAGTTTAGCCCGGAGAAGGCTCCAGTCCCCCGCACCCAGTTCCGGCGGTGCGAAAACGCCAAAAAGTGGGTAGTTCCACAATTAGTTCTGGTACTATGAAAAGGTTCCCGCGGTGCGAAAGGCCCTATTGTGTTCATTTGTATCCAGCTGTGTTTGATTAATTATCTCGTTTTCCCCTTGCATTTAAACCCTGTTTCCTTGAGTCTGAGTCCACTGTTATATGTCATCCTTGAGTTCCAGTGATTGTACCCCTTTGCTTGTTTGATTAAAATTCTAGTTGAAGTATTCTCCTGCGTCTCCTCGTTCCTCCCATAGAGAGATCGTGACAGAGAGCAGAATCGGAAGCATTTTTAACTCTTTATTATTTGATATGTTGCTTGATGCATAAATAATTATGCTATATATTCTTAAACAAAATGCTGAATTGCTTGATTTAAAACACAACACTCATCTAATTGTTTTACAAACCAATTTTGAGAGGTCTTGAAATGCATTGCCTAAGTTGGTCTGCATGGCTTTCCACTCCTGAACATCTGCTCCACCCATTCTGGCTCACATTATTTCAGCTTATATGCCAGAAACCAGAGTTTCATGCTTCGCTGCAGGAGTAGGCTATTTATATTTGACAAAAACTCGCTTACTTTAAACAAACAAAGTGTTTGTGATCAAAGTTGTGTCCCTATGAAGGTGAAACATCACTCGGATAGTAAGAATTCATATGTATGGCTATATGACCAAGTGTGAAATATGTGTGAGGAGACTCACCTGGGAATACGTATGAACTTATATTGAACTCGACAGTAAGGTGACCAACAATTTTTAAGTTGTCAAAAAGGGTGGTCCTCTTTCACAAGTTTTAGGCGCTTAGTGTAAATAAAGTACAGGGAAGTGTCAGAGAAAAAGTCAAACATTTGATGATATATCGTTTTATGGTAGCCTAGCGCAATTTACACAACTCTAGAATGACAAATAGAGGAGTGTGACATAAAGCCTAACGCCTGAACTGAGACAAATAAACTATGAAGTCTAAAGCCTGCTTCCTAATAAGTGCTACATAGTAATTATGTGCAAAGTTCAGTAATTTGTCGTTCTTCTCTGAATTATTCAAAGCTAGTTATGTGCAGCTGGTAAATAGGGCTTGTCTCTTTGTAGTTGTTCTGTACAATTAAATATTTATGTAAGCATAAGTTATAATAATCATAATGCACAGGAGAAACACCTGTGAAATTCTATTCATTCAATGTTGTGTTTGCAAATTGTTGTGATGATTGTAATATATTACACAATGTGAGTCATATATTTGTATTTGGTTAATGCAATAAAAATATTAAGAATCTTCTCGTATTGTATTAATTAAATAATCCAAATATGACTCACCTAGCCAAACAACAAAGAAATAAGTTTATAGTTTTGTATCTCTCTGTGCAGTATTTGATTTTCTTTTTTCCTCTGAACAAAAGCATGCATTTTAAATGCGTTTCAATGTGTCTTTCTTTGCCTTCTGTTTAGATTTTCATTGCAGTAGCTCAGTTGTGCCGAGCCTTTCAGTGAATGTAACCCTTTGTGAGCCTGAACCAGATAAGCATTTGAGGACAAAGGGTGTGTCAGATCAATACAAAGCGCAAGTTGGGTAACATCTAGAGACTAACAAGGGGACAGATTCCTTCATTTTTCTCCCTCGAGGTTTGACAAGTATACACAAGTATGTGGGAGTCTATGCCCTCCGCCCTCCTGTCAATCACTTTTGGTCCTTTTCAAAAATTCATAATTGATCTTGAGCAATTCTTTTGTTCTTCTTATGATTGCAATTACATGATCATTATATGTGGGAGTCTATGCCCTCCGCCCTCCTGTCAATCACTTTTGGTCCTTTTCAAAAATTCATAATCGATCTTGAGCAATTCTTTTGTTCTTCTTATGATTGCAATTACATGATCATTTAGGTACAGTTTTATAAGAGCATATGTGTTCCAGCTATTTGCTCGAAAAGTGCTTTGATCTTTGCTTCAAGTAGAATACATTATATTACTGCTGTCAGTTTTATCCGTTTCAACTTTTTTTTTTTTACATTTAAGATATATTTTTTACCATATTATTATGCATACATAGGTGCGGACATACAAAGAGATCTACAAAAGACTTCTTTAATTGGAACTGTGTGATTTATTAGACATGTTGTACATGCAGATTTAAAGGGGTCATATGATCCTGCTAAAAAGAACATTATTTTGTGTATTTGGTGTAATGAAATGTGTTTATGCGGTTTAAAGTTCAAAAAACACATTATTTTCCACATACTGACTCCAAAGAGAAAGGAAAAATTGAAATCGCATCATATGACCCCTTTAATGACTCCACATAAATCCAGAGACAAAATGATGTAAATATATATATATTTTTTTTAAAAGTTGTAAATAAAAACAAGATTATTGGAGTAAATTTCATGATGAAATACCATTTCAGTCTTTTTTACTTCAAAGTTTAATGTTTAATTCAATGTATTACTAGCCATGTCTTTGCTTGTGAAATTTACTAGCAAGTGAAATTTGTTTCTGCACACTTTTTTAGTGTACTTCGGAAGATCAAAGGTCAAAAGGTGATTTTAAAATGGTTAAAAAAAACTTTGTGGAATTTGTGATAAGCCACCTTAACTAAATATACATTTTCCTTACACATTCCATCTTAAAACCCTTGTTGAAACGTTTGTTTCAGTGTTATTTGTCTAGTATTTCAGTGTCTTAACTATGAGATACTGAAGACAGATTTCAGGAATGTGCAAACAAAGGCTTGTGCAGTCACGTAGTCATCTGCTTGTTCTCAACCAGTGAGCTTCCTTCACTTTTGACCTGATCTTTCTGACCGCGCTGGGAGTTTCAAAGAGTTAGTTGTTCTTATGCGGTTTTCAGAGATTTATGGCATTGCTGAATGGGAAAAGGTATGCTCGTCAAGAGGTTTATTAACACTCGTGCTTGCAAGAAACCACCATATAATTAAACCACCACATAATGTTTGGGTGTGTTGCATTAACAAAAGTGTGCCTTCCAATAACAGTCATCTAAAATAAGTCTTTCTCATGTAAAGTTAGCAAAAATGTGGCAACAAGTATTTAGATGTTTTCTATCTTTCCCCATGATGTCTGAGTTTAGGGGGAAAACACGGAATTGCTTGATTTATATTCTTCAGTTTAAAGAGCTTTTCATCTGTAACCTATTACGTCAGTCTTAAAGCATTGAGAGTATGGGGTGTTTTGAACAGAGGTTTCAGTTTGCTTTCGTTTTATTGGACCACCCAATCCCCACCCCACTCCACCCATTGAAGCTCACATTACTGCAGCGTACAGG